TACAGCTACGTGCAGCTGGGGAGGTAGGGGTCAACATGTCATACTATGTTTTCTGAAATGTGAATAATATGGAAGCGAAGTGTTCTTTCTTTTCTCCTTTAGGTCATTTTTCTGGATTTTTTTTGGTCATTTTTTTAATATTTTCAGGTCATCAAAATCCAGGCTCTGGTAATGAGTATCAGGAATGTTCCTAGGGGCAAAGGGCAGCTGGCACATAATACTAATAACCTCACTACCATTTCTGAGCCAACTGTCTAAAAAAGTTGGCAGCCTCAACATCTTACAATCCTATGGGTCTCCATAGCCTGTTACACAGCTTTACCTTTTATTTATTTGTTATTTATTTTTAATGTAATTGAATTATCATTACTGCAGGCTATACAGTGTCAAATGATTTGGTGGTAACAAACAATGAACTGGAAAGGATGTTGAAGCAAGTGGTCACTGTCTACTTTAAGGTACCATCTCAGTATTTGCCTAGAAGAACCATGAAGAACCTCACACAAGACGATCAGTTCCTGGCTGCAATTAAAACTGGGCACCTCTCCAATATATGCCACAAGTGTTATCACATGAGCCAACTTGCTTGGTAAATGATTACTCTGCGCCAAATATCTTTTAGTATTATTATAAATACAATCAGTAATAACTGGCACAGTAGAAATGTATTGCAGATGTTCCTTACATTCTCCTCGTCGTCAGCTTTGCCTTCGACCCAGAACAAGACCTGTTTCTTTCGATCATAGTCTATGTGAATTCCACCTTCAATTCCAACAACTGGTGTAAGGAAGCCACTTGTCTTGTCACCGGGAGTCAAGCTCACATCAATGATCTGGGATGCACGCATCACCATCAGGAATGGCACTTCCTCTGTTGACATGTCAAAATAACATTCTATTAGCTCTCGGATGTTGAAGCTTCAATGTAAGAGCTACTAAAGCACTGAAAGGAATTACAGATAAGAAAAGGAAATTTTCTAAAAATACCAAAAAACCCTGACCTTGGTTTGTATGGTTCTTGCTACTCTTCATGTTTCTGTACCTATGAACTGAATAAGCTGTCAAAGCACTGGTATGTTCTAACAGACCTTTCACAATTATTCTGGAATGTGCTCCATGATTAGTTTCCTGCTAGAATTAAAATAGATGCTATTTTCTTTCTTTATTTAAATGATACAAACTCCGTCCTAAGTGCAAACAATATATATTATATGTCTTTGATCTTGTTCTTTCTACACTACATGTTTCGGCCTCTATCGGCCATCATCAGGTGTATACTCTTAACGTTGCTGCCACACTGAACCCAGTCTAAAATTTAACATTTAAAAACACAATGTCACATTCTTCGTATTATCAACATCTACATCGTTGATATGTGTCTGGTATGTAGATNTACACCTGATGATGGCCGATAGAGGCTGAAACATGTAGTGTAGAAAGAACAAGATCAAAGACATATAATATATATTGTTTGCACTTAGGACGGAGTTTGTATCATTTATCGTGTAGAGTGCAACAGGATGCTTAAATATAATATTTCTTTATTTATTTTAATTGCTAGTGGGGTGGGACTAAGTCCCTTGTACTGCAGCCACTTCTGAAAAATAGATGCTAACTCCTCATTTTATAAATCTTTGATTAATAAATTAACATGTTAAAACATCTCAAATATTGATCTCATTCTTGGTATGCATGGGAACTTAATATTAAGTTCTTTACCCTCACCTATAGTACATTTCCCATCAGGCTGGAGGCGGTAGCCAGGTTTACATTTGCAGCTGTAGCCAGAAGATGCAGAAGGTGACAGAAGGCACAACTGAGAACATGGAGCACCTGAACAGGGGCTGTTACCACTGACTTTAGGTTGTAGGGAAGGGTGATGCACATGGATGCTGAGGGGTTGGGATATAAGATGTGATACCACTGTCTGATTCTTCCCACGGAACTTGTGTGCCGATAACACTCGGTTCAGCTGGCGATCAGTCCAGTACATGGTATCTTCAAACAGTGTAAGCGAATGCGGATGCAGGAGGTAATGGCTGCCAGCTAGGACTTGTTGACGTCCTGAGCCATTATAATAGCAGAAGTCAATGAAATCCAGTTTTGAATCTGCAAAGTACACTCGTTTATTGGCGATGTCTAAGGTGAGACCATTCGGCCAGTATATTTTCGTGCTGATGATGACACTACGGTTTGTTCCATCCATTCCAACTCGCTCAATGCGAGGGTTCTCTCCCCAGTCAGTCCAGAATAACCACCGAGCTCTGAAAACAGAACACAATGCCACTGTACTTCTATGTGTACAAAAATAACATAAAGAGATGTTCAGACTACCTGGATGGAATTTTGACTAACTAAAAGAGAACAGATCTAAAACAGGTTTCTATTATTCTGCAGCCTTAATTGAAACACAGCTCCTTTAGTAATATTGTATAACAACACACAACACACAAACATTTCCTGTAGTTTAAGGAATTGTGAGAGATGACAAAAAGAGTATGAAGACAGATGCCTGCTCAGTGATACCTTGTTCATCACAAATTGCACATGAACTACACTACAGTGGAAACAAGATCTCCATGGTGAGAAGCCACCAATTAAGAACCTGAGCTTTGGAACAGCCCCACTTACCAAGTTGCCAGCTATTTTGGTTGATATTCCTTGATTTTCCTTAACCCCTTACCACAGAAGATTCAGTCACTGTCCAAGGATAACACAATGCATAACACTGAGATTACTGGCCTAGGACCATTGAAACTGAGTATCATATTAAGGAAAACCTTAAACTAAGAAATATTAAATTAATGTTTCACTAAATATTACACCACTCATCCTGAAGCAAACCTGCAAACATTTCTGCCAGTCCATGAGAAAAGTGTCTTTTTGTGGCGTGATCATACTGCATACAGTAACGATTCCTCTTTAAGATCTTTACAGACTTACAGACACCTGTTTCCACATCATTTATACATAGGAGAAGTGTGACTCACCCTTTGCTAGGGTCTAGGGCCATTCCTCTCGGCTGGGTTATGTTCTCCTTCAGCAGAACCATCCTGTTGAGCCCATTCTCCTGAGCTACTTCTATTACATTGAGTCTTGAGTCCAACCAGTATAAGTTCCCTCCAATCCAGTCATACGCAAGTCCCTCAACTAGATCCAAACCATTTGATATGACCTGAAACATTGAAAATGTCTGTCAGATTTCAGGTCAGCATGGGGCAGAACACAAAGCCTTCTGGGATGTTATAATGTGCTGCCCCCGTGCTGACCTGAAGTCAGAAGCAGCAGTTTCTACTAAAAATTCTACCAGACTGCACAGCGTCACATCCAAGAAGATTGTAATCTCTGTTAAAACTCAAATTCCACTGTAAATGATAACATGATGTGATCTATTCTACTTTATTTAAAACACCAGTGAACCAAATAACTAATTAACTAGGTACTAAAGGGATCTGACGATGATGTATAACACACAGAATTAATGGACTTTGGGGCTTTTTCCATCATCCAGTATTCTAGAGAATAGAAAACATGATGTTTCAGAAACTGGCTCTGTTTCTGACCTCACGTGAAGGGGGGCGGAGAAAACCTACTCAATTGGGCCCCTTAGAAAGAGTGACTGAGATTAGCTCTTTCTAAGGGGCCCAACTGAGTAGGTGTCTTCTCACCCCTTCACGTGAGAATGGAAAGAGATCCAGTTTCTGAAATGTCATGTTTTCTATTCTCTAGAATACCAGACGATGGAAAAAGCCCAAAAACCCAGTAATTCTGTGAACTAATTAACTAACTCCATGCAACAGGGTCCTTCTTTAGATCAACACTAAGGGTAACTCAGCATTTCAAGAAATTCACCAGCATTTAGCCTGAAGATTCATCACCATGCTCACAGCAGCCCACCAGTCCCCATCCTGAGAGAGATTAATACAATTCCTACGCTATATCCTAATCCTTTAACATCCACTTTATCATTATCCTACCATCTACGCCTGTCTCTCCCAAGGAACTCAGTACGGCATATCCTGCATGCGAGGACATACAGACATCGTCACACAGCATCTACACAACATATTTTATGTAACCACCAGCAGAAGAACATGACCAACATTATATTCATGTACTTGTAAAACAGATTTTTAATCTTGAAATTAATTTTCATTGATAATGGGTAATTATTAATAAAAAAACATTAATTAAATTAATATTGTGACATGTATACACATTTCTAGACAATGAACACAGGCCCATGGCTCAACAATAGAGAGGCTGTTTTCTATGTGGTGCATGCCACGACTGTTGCTATGCAATGGTGCATAAAACACACCTAAAACAATACACAAAATTAGAAGATATTGTTTTCCAGGTTGTCTCCTATAAAAATATTCTCTTCCCCTCACTTTCTCCAACTCAAATTCTGTATTCATTTCTTATCTGTCCCATTTGTGCTACATTCCCTGTCCATCTCACCCTGCTTGATTCCATTACGCTCAACAATATTGGCTACCAAGCACAAATTATGAAGCTCAACACTGTAAAGTTTCCACCAGTCTCTTGTTACTTTCTCCATCTCAAGTCCAAATAATGCATATAAAACCAAGCATCAAACTGTATTGAGAGAAACTCACCTCTTGCGGTTCACTTCCTCTGTCTAACCGGGAGATCTTCTTCAGTTTCATATCTGACCAGAAGATGGTGCCAGTGTGCATATTAGAAGCTGTTGCTACAACATTTTCAACAATGATCGGAACTCTTTCTAGTCCCTGCTCCTTGAGGTCAGCCACCAAGATGGAGTGACGGTTTGAGATGATAAGGAATGCAGCACTGTGATCTACACGAGAACACAAAGGATTTCTTAGCTTCACTACAAATCTTATGGAAACAATGGGTAATGTTTAGTTTATTCATTTGTGTGTAGCCTACTTTCCTCATTTTGAAAAAAATAAAAGGAGGCTTATAAGAACACCTTGCTGTCTGTGTGTAAGTGCGTCTGTCAATCCTCCAATAATTTTTTCGTTTCCTGTGCAGTCAATTTTGTATCAAAAGAAAGTAGGCAATCAGTTCTTCCCAGATCTTCTTGTTTTCATTTGTAGTATACTTCAACAATGATGTCAGTAGCCCTGACTATACAGTGTCAAATGGTAGAATGATTAGTAACTAATGAAATACTGAGGAAGTTAATGAGTGGAACCACGGCCTAATTTGTCTGGAAGGGCTAAGCAAACCACAGGGAAATTCAGTCTGGATTTTGGGCCAAAATTTGAGCCAAGAACCTATTGAATACAAAGAAGTACTATCACCTGATAGTGTTGTTTCATCTATGTAACAAATACAAACCCCATCCTGTGGTTCAGAGTTCATGATAAGCTGTGAGTATCTTCTGTTAACCATAATCTTTATCATCACATTGTCTCTTGGAGGAAATGGAAACCCAACAAGTGAATGATCCCATCTCAGGAGTAAATTACTTAATTTCTGCTATGGTCTGTCTGATATTAAGAACAGATTAGGGCAGCTTCTTGGTAAGATTACTGTAGAAGCCCTACGTAACTGTCTAGTTCTATGCTTTACAAACAGCAATAATTTCTGCTGTCACAATCACTGCCATCATCATCATCATCACCAGTATCATCATTGCCATCATACTCATCACTGCTCCTGCTATTGTTATCATCACTGCTGTCACGGCCATGGTAAATTTAAAGCCCTTGTCCATATGACTGAACAGCGGACTGCCTTCACTACCTCTCAGAATATAATCAGATTATACAAAAGTATGGGAAAACAGAAATAAAAAATTTGGCTTTTAAAAAATAGCGCTGAGTACATGAAACATCACAATCTATTCTCAAAGCCAGGTGCACAGTATGTAGGCAGAGGACAGGTACAAATAAGTACCGTAACTGGACGCAATTGAGAGAAGAAAATAAAAATGAATTATCTTACTAATTGCCTTGCAGACATGTTTGTTTTGTTCCAGTGTATATCCAGGAACACAGCTGCAGTAGTAACTCCCCTTTGTGTTGGTGCACTGCTGTGAGCAGATACCCGGGGGCTCACACTCATTCAGATCCTCACAATCGAAAGAGTCAACATTCAAAACTTCCCCGGCCGGACAAGTACATGTGGCTCCCTGCAAAATGAAAACCAATTTCACTCATTGTATCTAGCAGACACAGCACTGATGTGGATATATGACATTTATTTCTTTACTGGTACCATGGGGGCTGAAAGCTGAATTTCAATTTGAGGGCAATTATATTAAATTCAATTTGAGGGCAATTATATTAAATACTCGTAAACTGCAACATTTGGTCAGCTGGGATATCTCACTGAGTATAGCTATGGGTTACATGCTGGACAGCCAAGGAATCGTTCTGACTCTGGGCTGGGGCAATACAACTCTCTGCTCTCCACACTGCCCCAGCTCTCTATTCATTGGATATCAGAAGCCATTTCTACAAGGGTAAAGCAGCTGGGACATGAAGCTGACCACTCATCTCAATCTAGTGCTAAATTAGTTAACCAAAGTGACAACTTCACGTTTCCCTTGGCTAACTGGACCATGTGCAAGCACTACTTGACAACTTTACCTTTCCCTTGGCCAACTGGACCATGTACAAGCACTACTTGACAACTTTACCTTTCCCTTGGCCAACTGGACCATGTACAAGCACTACTTGACAACTTTACCTTTCCCTTGGCCAACTGGACCATGTGCAAGCACTGCTATAAGAGTGTAACACATGGACAACAAAGACTGATGCTGGAAACTGTAACTTTTGGTATGACTTTATCATGTGAGCACATACCAACGGTGTCTGTGTGCAATTGTTGGAGCAGAGGCCACCTTGGTGTTCACATTCATCTAGGTCACAGCCGCCTCCTTCATCAGCACCATTTGGACAATCAAATTTCCCATCGCACACCTTGGTCAAGTTCACACAACGCTCCGATACTCCTGGACACTGCCATTCACCCGAACCACAACTGAAATACACAGAGCAGAGGATCCAGTTCAGACAGCTGCTTGTAATGGTGAATGTGGATCTGTGAGGTAATACTGCATGGCTCCTTCAGACACTGAAGGCACAACTGTGCAAGTAATGTCACTCAAGGAGAAGAAAGAAAAAGTGAGAAGATGAAGGAACAAGAGGAGACAACAGAAGGTGATGAGGAGGAGGGAAGATGGGGAGAAGCAAGAGGAGCAGTAGGAGGAGGAATAGGAGGTGGTGGAGAGAAAAAGAGGACAAGAGGAGTGGGAGGAACAGGACAAAGATTATAAGAAGGGGAGGGGTGAAGGATTAGCAGCAGCAGCAGAAGAGAGGAAGAGAAGGAGCGGCAGAAAGAGCAGAAGCAGGAGGAAGAATAGAAGCGGGAAGAGGATTAGCAGCATGGAAGGTGCAGTAGGAGGAACAGAAGCAGGAGGAAGAACAGGAGCAGGAGTAAGAGGATTAGCAGCAGGAGCAGGAGGAAGAACAGGAGCAGAAGTAGGAGGATTAGCAGCAGGAGGAAGAACAGGAGCAGGAATAGCAGGATTAGCAGCAGGAGGAGCAGAAGAGAAGAGGACTAGGAGGATTAGCAGAAGAGGAGAAGGAGCGGTGGTGGCAGTAGAATAATTATGAGATGCAGGAGGAGGCAGAGATTAAAAAATATGAAGCAGAAGATGATTATGAAGTAGAGGGAAGAAGATAATGAGGCAGGAGGAAGAGATCAAGAAAATAAAAAGCAACATTTGGTTTTCAAAATGGATAGTCTGTTAACTATATTAAGCACACAACAGTGCACTGAACAGGCATGTATAAGCAGAGACCCCTCTTAATCTTCTATCTGAGAGGTAACTGGTTTTGTATCTTGCTAATTTATTGGCTAACCTGACTGATGATCTCCACAGTTTTCCTTTGTATCTCCAGATGATTACTGGGACAGTATCTTGAAAATAGGTATACTCAACTTCTATCAAATATTGTCTCACCATTCATGCAGTATGTTAATTCTAAATGTTTACAAAAAAAAAGTGTATTTGCTATGAAACTGACTTGGCTGTACGGAAAATAAGGCTGGTTGTCCAATGTTTAAAAACACTCTAACTGTATCTTCATTCTATTTACATCAGCCTGGTCATCAAACAAGTAGCTTTCTGCTACGATAATAGGTTGTGATGGTCTATACATGCAAACTGAATATGGAGACAAACCACACACCGTGAAAATCTCATTTAAGGTTTCTCTCAGGAACAAGTTCAAACAACCAACCAGTGAAGTTGTCTTATCTGGAGGAAATCTAAAACTGAGATTAGTAATTTGGGATCATTTGAAGTGGATGTTAAAAAAAGAGAAATCCTTACATCAGGGAATATTAAATGGGGGTTCAATAGTATACTGATACCTAAATGGTGGGGGCCCACATGCATGTCTGGCATCTTCATCAGAGCCATCTATACAGTCATTCTTCCCATCACAGACGTACGCTTTGAACACACACTGAGAATTGTTACACTTGAAGAAGCCTGCTGCACAATCCACCTGCAATAAGAAAATTATGATCTGGTGTAGAAAATAACAAAAATTATGCATTTTAAATTTGAAGTGCATCATAATGTTAATTCAATCAAATGAAAATGTTACCAAGGTTTTGAAGAGTTCTCTACATACATGGTAAGAGTAAACATTTTATTTGTGGCTATATAGGACGACGTATTTACATTTTCCAAATTCGTTCTTTACAATTTTGTACATTTCACTGGCTATGAAGTTAACTTATTGCAGATACAAATTTACTGATGCAAAGCGAATCGCATTACATGTATCATGTGGCACAAAGTCACAAGTTACTTATTCTTATATTTTTTACACATAAAACATTCTAAATTCTTTTCTCCAACAGTTTTGTACCTATTTCATAACATCCAATTTTCAGCAAAAGTTAGGTGTTAACTTGTGTTGCTCAAATATCAACTAAGGTCCCATCATTTATATTAATGAGGCATTAACTCAGAGCACCATAAATATCATCTAGTTGTCTTATTACATATGACTTAAATATCATCTTCATGTCTACATTTTTACATGTTATATAAACTTCCGAAGGGTGGATACAATTCTAAGAACATTCTGTATTTAAACCTACCGTTCCGCAAGACTTAGGCTCATCTGAACCATCCTCACAGTCAGACGTACCATCACAGTGCCACAGGTTAGGGATACAAATTCCTGAAGACTGACACTGGAACTGCTTCTCTGTATCACACTGATCAGGTGCCAAAGATGCTGAAATAAACCAATTTATATTAATAACTGATATTTAGTAGCATCCTCAATATTCATTCTACATTAAAAAATGTGTGAGATGTGTTGGTGTGGTTCATGTAGAATATAAATATCTACATTACAACAGGATATTAAAGATTTTATGAAATACAGAAGGATTAGGCCGATTTGGAAGTTAAATACAGTTGTTTCTTACGGCCTTATAAATGAAGATTACCATCTTCTGGGATGTGGTGCTGTTTAATTCATGGTACCCTGAGGACAGAAGCAGCAAAAATTTTGTGAAACACGGGTACACATCTACAAAACTACACAACATCGCAAAACAAGATGATCATAATCATCATATTCACCACCATCAGAACCTCGGCGACATGGTGCTCCAGCATAAGACAGAGGTGTTGGGGGCTATATATTGTCCCTGACTAATAAATGACGGGTTCTGGATTGAACGATTGGATCTCTTGACACCTTCTTGTACAGTTGCTCTCTATCACAATCAATTACAACAGCTCACAATCAGTGACTGCCTAAACTTGTTCCTTTTCGTTCTCATTCCCTCTCTCATGCTCTTCAGTCTACAGCTGACTTTCAATTTACAACTGGACTACTTACACAGCTGTGAAGCAGACACATAGAAAACACATTGTCCAGCAATGGATATATGTGAACCATGCAGAAAACACCTTTCCCTCTATTGTTGTATTTACAGCGCGATGCACAGCAACAGAAGTTATCCCATAGTTGCCTGCATATTCATCGCCACGTACTGCTGTATGCATTACCCAGCAATGGGCTATTTACCAAGAATCTGTCCCTGCAGGAATGTGTTTATCAAGCCATTGCCTAGCAGTGGGTCAATATGTCACAATATAACTGCTGGTACTCAGTGCCATATTTGATTTTTTTTTCTGTTTGAAGTACATGTTTTGGTACATCTTCTTGATACTTTTAAGTAGTTATTGCTGTTTAGTACAGAAATGCCTATCACAAATTCACATTTTCACATTTCATTTTTATGTCATGTTTTGCTTATTAAGATTTATCTTCCTACTGGTGACATCATTTTTTACAAAATGTTACTGCATACTTATTTTTACTATCATCACTGTTATCATCATGATCAATGTTACTGTCATTATAAAATCACCCATTATCTTCAACCTAATTAGTGCAATGACAATGTTCATAACCAGAATCTGCTCCGTCTTATTTATGCAAGTTTTTCTAATCTCCTTGTTTCAATTGCTAAATCTGTTTAGTTATACCTGAGGTTCTCATTATGAAGGGCACACCATCTTCTACATTGATGCTGTACAGCACCACAGTAGTTTACTTGTATTTTGGAGGAACATAGGCCATCTTCAGCATTGAAAAGTTAGCCAAGCAAGCAGAAATTAGTGCTTGCTTGTTGCTTCTTTAGCTGTTAGCCAGCCCAGTGCAGCAGTTCTTGGTCCACAAAAGCATGCTACTTCCTATGAGTGCTCAAAAAATGTCACGCCTCAATGCTAAATCTGATTATTCCCAGTTTTATAACGTTCTTAAGATTTTTGAAGTTTCAAGTTCTAATGGTAAGGAGTATTAAGATGACTGCCCTCTGGAATATGATGTCCATGTAGTTTGGTAGACAGAAACTAACATTTTGGACGGACCTAAAGTCTCCATGTTCAGGACAGAAGAAGCACGCTGAGAAGAGAAAAATGTAAGTGTATTACCTACTGTTTTACCTTGCTATGCTCATTTATTTCACCCCATGATGAAGGACACAATTTCCTCTGAAATGTCAGTACCTATCTATCAAACTAGATGATGCCACATCCCAGAGGTCTACAAGTTTTAATATTTATATTATTAAGTCTGATAGGGACAAGTGGCTCAAGTCTATCACAACAGTTCTTTTCATGAAACAAACAAAGATAGCGCTACTTACGACAGCCCTGCTCATCACTCCCATCATTACAGTCTGGAATGCCATCACATTTGTATGTTTCCTGAATGCACTGCTTGAGATCAGAACACTTAAACTGTGTTGCAGAGCATGTGATGGGCGGACAACCCTCTTCATCTTGGTTATCAAAGCAGTCATTATCTCCATCACAAACCCAAGACTGAGGAATGCAGTGTCCTGATCTGGGACATGTGAACTGGAGCAGAAACAGTAACACCATCAGCTTCATTCCAGTAATTAGCACAACCAGAAATTAGTCTCACTATTACCTTGATATGCAAATTACAATAAAAAAAAACAATTTTGTTCCAATAATTTTTAAGTTTCCCTAAAGCAATTTAGGAATAAGAGACATAAACCTACAGTGAAACGGCCTATATATTTATGAAAATTTACAGTACTTTTTAATGCGTAAAGTATCTTAAATTTCAGCTTGTCTATCATATGCTGCTCTCCTAGCATTCCACATTCATCTCGTGATAGATTTTTTGGTTATGTATTTAGCTGAACTTATTTGGATTATCTAGCATTGAATGGAAGACTGATATGATAATAAGATTATTAAAGGATGTAGGAAGAAAACAGTAATGGACTGGTTTAGGTTACTAGCCTATAATCTGCCCCTAGGAACCAAGGAATACCACAACATACCTTGAAACAGGCAGTCTCTAGGTTAGAATTTGAAACCAGGACCTCCCAAATAAGAAGCTGGAATGTCAGCCACCCAACTAGAATATCCAGTCATACTTATCTCATGCTGATTCTTAGAAATACCTTACACAAAGTACTGGAGCTCTACATAGCTGTACAGGGAAAAAGCCTATATAAAAGCTACACTTACATACATAGCAAACCCCCCATATATTGTTTCTTTGGGGAACAAATTAACAGGAACACTAAGCTCATGAAAATCTTAAATTGATGTAAATTAACTCTGGATATGAAACTGAATGTGAAATGTGGGAAAACCCTAAAACAATGAACACTAAATGGAGGTTCTCCATTGTATATCAGAAAATACTAATTTTTAATATTCTAAATTATTAAAATCTCTCATGTTACATTCCAGTATATATGGCACAAGCAATACAACATATACTTTCAGCAGACATTTTGTGAAGCAGAGAAATATATTCCTCTTCTTTCTCTACCTGGGTAAAAGGTAACGGCTATCCCTGTAAGAGGCCGTGAAGGCCCATAGAGGTATGAGAGGTTGAGGCTCTAACATCTTCTAGACAGTCAGCTCACAGATAGCAGTGAGGTTGTCAGCCTTATGTGCAGCCCCCGAAAATACCTAGTACTCATTTCTGTTAAGAGGCTGAGACAACCCCGGGGTCACAATGCGGCCAGAAAATTAGGTCAACTGAAAAATCCAATGACCTCATCAGGATTCGATCCTGCAACCTTCTGGCTTGTAGCATAGTACCTCAACCAACTATGCTACCATGTGCTGCCCTCTACCTGGGTTGATCTCATAAATAAATGTTGGATTGTATCCTATACCTGGAAATAAGCACAAGTCTTTTCTGTACAGAAGTCTCCTTCATCAGAACCATCGCCACAGTCATTCTCAGAGTCGCACTTCCAGGTGGCAGGGATACAGCGACTGTTATCACAGCGAAACTGCGATAGTGCACACGTCACATTGACACAGCCTGTCTCATCTGAGAAGTCTCCACAGTCATTCTCCGAATCGCATTTGAAACTACCGGGAATACAGCGCCCTGTAGTACACTGGAACTCTCCAGAGCCACAAGTAGGCTCTGCAAAAACATAACACAACTTCATTGACCCAGTTGCTACTGCTGGATTCTGGGGTCTCATAGCAGTGGCTATAAAGAGTAGTATATTCTGGGATGTGACGCTACAGTCCAGTAGAAATTCACTGATGTTTCTGAGGAATGCTGATGAATTTCTACTGGACTACATGGCATCACATTGCAGAACGCAGCACTCTTCATCTCATGCCATTTGTTTACCTAGAGACCCCTTCTGTCACTATATTTCCATTAACATATGATTTATGTTCTTAAAGTATAAAAATTCTTTGTTTTTGTAGAAACCTTGAGTGAATTTACTAAACCTAATCATTCTCAGAACACCCCTGATGATGTCCCTTCAAAAGTTGTAACAGACACAGGTATTGAATAATAAATAGTACCCTATGTTGTAGTTTAACAGTGTCTACTAAATTACATTAAATCACAGACGACATTACTTGTTTAGTGATGGTGGTATACATTTCTCTGACCCATACTGATTAAAATCAAATAAATACATACCAGAAGGATCAGTAATATTAAACATATATTTTATCTGTAGCATGGAAAGGGTTAACTTATGATGGAATGAGCTTCATGACTATCCAATGATGCCTCAAGCTCAGAGACGTTTGAGACACAGATTAGTGCTCATCACCACAAAGACCCATGATCGATCTAAAATGTGATTTCATTTTGAAACTGCCTGCGTTACTGGGGATCTAAGTCAATGATTACTCCCTGATTATGGTGTAGGAGCCTACAAAAACACTAGCCAATCAATGTGAACCACAGCTGCGCCAATGCCCACTGGGTCAGGCGCCGCTAGTGAGAGTGAATCGAGATGCAAACCTCTGACATCCTAATCAGTTGGAGTCCCTCTTACCTCAAGATCGCTTTTCTCAAGTGAACACGGCAACTGCAAGACTCCTAGCAGCAGTACTGCCAGAAAAATCTGCTAGCAGTCACCTAGACCCTTTCGGAAGTCCACCAACAGCACTTACAACCCTAAGCTGGCTCGCAATCAACCGGCTGCAGATGCAAGGAAGACCAATGTGCCAACCCGGTGCAGCTGGAGTTTAACTGGCATTCACTGGGTGCACTCTTCCTTAGAATTATGACCATTTTCAAGGCCGCACAATATGTTACCAGTTACCGCACACTCCGCTTGTCTGCTCATCTGTATACCCTTCTTCTAACAGCAATTAATATCTCTTACAGAAATTTATGTGGTTGTCTCTCCAAGTACCAGTACTGACATCGCACAATGGATAATGGCCACTTCCAGAATATTGGAAATGAATTCAATCTTGACATGGATAAATTTGTCTGAGAAGCCTTCATGCTACATGATGATAAAGTTTCTCTGTTATTGCTAAAGAGATATCAAAGCTCTAATTCAGACTTACTAGTGCAGTTCTGTTCTTCATCTGAGTTGTCAAGGCAGTCATCATCCCCATCGCAGACCCATGCCTTGGGTATGCAGCGCTGATTGTTACATGTGAAGTCCCAGGCATTGGGACAGGCTTGTACTGGAGGCTCGGCATTAGGGTCTGCCTGACAGGTCTGGTTCTCCGGCTCCACTAACCTCTCTCCATAAGGGCAACCACACTTTGCCTGCCAACAGCACACCACAATGCTTCAACATTTCTGACTTACTGAATCCTGAATGTCATGGTTTCATAATATAAGAAAAGATAATATCAGTAAAGAGGTAAAAAAGAAAGTTAAAAGTATCCCTGTAACAGGCTGTGGGGACCCATAGGGCTGTGAGACGTTGAGTCTCCCACATTTCTACACAAGCAGTTCACAGATGACAGTGAGGACGTCAGCCTTACGCAATGGCTGCCCTATATCCCCAGGAAGATTCCTGGTACTCACTTCTGTTAGAGGCTGAGTAGATCCCAGGGCCATATTGCGGCTGGAAGGGTTAGGTCAATTGAAAAGTCCTATGACATCATGCGTAATCAAACCTGCAACCTCCTGGCTTGTAGCATAGTACCTCAACCAACTATGCTAAGAAGTTAACAGCAGCAGTGATATAAAATAAAATTAAAAAATAAAATAATAATTGCAACATGAAAAGCACTGTCTCCTGAATGTAACACTCTGTAGTTCAGTATAAGTTTACTGTCATTTTGAAGGAATATATTGCCTTCATAAGGGTTAAAATGTAAGTAGCAAGAAGCATATGTGAGGGAGCAGCACTTTTCTTGCTGCTTGCTTGGTTTGCTTATTTTTTGATCCTGCAGATGGGTGGAATAAATCAGTCAAAAACACAGGTAAACATGTAGCAGACAACATGGCAACAATTCAGCTCTCCACACTCACCACAGTGAGGACCTCAGAACTCACAAATCCCAGTACTGTTTGCAGGAAAGTACTGTCACAATTTACAGAGCTTTCAATTATCATTCATACTTTTCCTCAAAACAATGACTCCATACATCTCAGCACAATTAACACAAGAAAACAAAGACTAAGAAAATTTTCATTTGTCACAACATTTACCTGAAATCAGTCATCTGAAATAATAACATACCTGCAGCCCTGGTGCACTGTTCCTGGGAACAGCAAAGCAGAGTTTTTCACAGCCGCCATTGTTAACCGAACAGGGCTGGTTATGATCGATGGTCTGCACAGTGCCACTGTATACCTTCACGCCATACAGACGGTTTGTTTGTGGCTCCCGCACCACAACTTCTTCCAGTTCTCCTGACAGTTTATGCAGCTTGATAATGGCATCCAGTCTCCAGTCTGTGATGTACATCCAGTCTAACAGCAAGGAATTATTTATTAATTACTGAACATGTATGTTTTGGAGTTTATGAGGAGGGCTGTGGACAAGCCATGGAAGTCCACATCAGCCCCCTGGTGTCCGTCTCAGTACCAGAGCACTACCCTAGCACTTCTTCTAACTGGAGTGATACTAAACGGAGATAACAATTAATAAATATAATATAATCTGTTACTAAAAAGTTATCACTTCCTTTAAAAAAAAAGATGACTTCACTTCAGTACTTTATTACCATCATGAAAATATCTGAAAGAAGTTTATATATCAAAGGTTTCACATACAATGGAGCCTTTTCACAGGACTTAAAAAAAGTTCCCACTGAGTAAGTCTCAGTAAGTGTCTCTTGGAGAGCTACGGGGTAGGTGATTGTTCTATTTGAATCTGTAAGAAGGCATGTGAATAAACCCAAGTGGCTTTCAAAATAGCTAAATTATAAGCACACAGGATATATACACCCCTTCCAGTGCACACTGTTAAGTCCTGTGCAAAATCATGTATAACTTCAAGAGTGACACACCATGACAAATATTTTACGAGAACATACGAAAATTAATCAAGTCCTTTTATGATAGAACTTAAAAACTTAAGCAAGTTACTTAATTTACCTTTGTGAATGACTATCGAGAATGGATGTCGTATAAGCCGAGAGCTGACCGTTCGAACATCTGTTCCATCCAAATTAGAATGTTGTACATGGTCAAGCAAAGCATCACACCAGTAAAGTCTATCAGTCTGAAAGTCTACCGAAAGTCCATTGGGCCAACCTAGAGTCACATTTCGGAACACAATGAGGTTGCTACCATCTGTATGAGCTCTGCTGATGTTGGCCGGCCGATCCCACTCTGAGAAGAATATGTACCTGAAGAGACAAACTGTGTAACAGATAGTGCAGGATGGCCAGAGGAGGACAATTCCAATTAGAAAATTCATAAAAATCAATTTAATTTCAAAGATTTGAGGTCCTCATGGCAGTGATTATGAAGAGTATGGTCTTCTGGATTATATCACCGTGTAGTTCGGAAAAATCCTCTGAAATATTGATATTGATCCATCAAGATACACAGTATCACATCTCAGAAGACTATAAGCCTCATACCCACCACCATGACACCATCTCATAAGTTATTGCATACTGTATGAGAACTTAAAAGTCTATAAAATTAAATTGTATATTCTAAATTTGCTGCTGTGTGTGCTAGTCTATTTGTAACTCTGGAAGCACCAGTTGCTTGTAACACAAATGTAATCTATTTGAATAATATTAATGACAGTATTACGAATTCTGGAGCACATCTGTGTAGCATAAGTACACTAATGTATAAAGTGTTTATGGAATTATATTAAAAGAACACAGAATCAAGTCATACACAAAAGCAGAAAGGACAAAGAACCATCTTTGGATGTTTTCTTTTGGAATCAGACAAATTCTTACCCTCTGTTAGGATGGACTACAATAGCTCGAGGTCTCTTCAGGTTTTTGAGCAGTGTCCTCTTGTATGTAACATTGCGAGTACTCAATACATTAAGTGTTCCTTTACGACTGTCAATGTAATACAAGTTCTTTGCAGCCCAGTCCACTGCTAGTCCTTCCACGCCTTCATTTTGAGATGCTAGAACAATCTCTCGACCTGGCAACAGATTATACAAGGCTGAAAACAGTGCAAGTAGAACAAAAACAGCGTATGTATTCGTGCAAAATATTAAATTCTAAAACATCTGCTTAACAGTTTGTGGAATACATGGAAATGTTCATTTATTGCATTGTGTACATCAGGCTTTGTTACTGGCCAATACAGATACAATTCAAAATGAGTGACTGTTTACGAGATTCTTCTAAACATGTGTGATTCCAGAAGCATGTTTTCTTTGTCAGCTACAGTTCAAGTTGAATATCATACAAATATATGACCCAAAGTGTCTTTAGAGGTCAAGCCTTCAATCTCTGATATTAGAAATGATGTCATTGTGTCTGCGGCAATTTCATGAACAGCTACATAACATGCCCAGAAGCATGTTTTCTTTGTCAGCTACAGTTCAAGTTCAATATCATACAAATATATGACCCAAAATGTCTTTAGAGGTCAAGCCTTCAATCTCTGATATTAGAAATGATGTCATTGTGTCTGCGGCCATTTCATGAACAGCTACATAACATGCTATACACTAAGTAACACACACATTTTCTTTTCAGTATGATTATATACAGTGCTCTTTTCTTAAAGAAAGGTATTGGTATTCAAATATAAAAAGGCAGAAATTACACAGAGAAAATGAAATTTGGAACTACGTTTTTACTGACAAGAAGATAAGCTCCAGTTATATGTGATACAGCAGGGGAAGATAATTAAAATGAATTAGAACTTGTTGTCCCAGATGATGCATAAATCTTCTTCTTCTGTTGACTTTTCCACTCCTGTCTAAGAACCAAGTGTCTCTCTCCCCCTCTCCCCCCCCCCCGGCTACCTCCTCAGTTTTCTTTTTTCCATTTTTCTTCCTTCTTCTTTCCTAGCCTGCTGTTCCCATTCTGATTTCACTCTTCATCTTCTTTCATTTTCATGAACCTTCTTTGGAATTCCATCTTTGTTCATTATCAGAAGGTGGCCAAACCGTTTTACTCAATTAATCATTAATGCATCTTCCAACATATTTATCTTCAAAATTTCTCAGTTGTTTTATTTCCTCTTCTGTCTCTTCCGGTTTTTATCTTCTATGCCTCTATTATCATCAGCCTTTGTCTATGAAACTGGCTCTAAATTAGGCAATTCATTATGATAACCAGGTAAAAATAAAAAGGAATCAATTAAATCATATAACCTAAAATCTAACTCATGAATATGACACATCTCTGTGAACATACGAGTAGAATAGATTTTCAATATTATTAGTATACGACTGGTAATATCATTCAAAATCTAAACTCTGTAATACCAGAGTCCACCACTGTACACAATCCTGGGCCAGTTTCATTCATCTCACATCAATATAGCTTATTTCTCTACAATCCATGTTAATCTTATTCTTGTACTACCTTCTCAGTCTTCAACATGTAAATTCTCCAGATGTTTCTCTGTGAGAATTCTGAATGCTTTTGCTGTCCCCAGATTCCCCCTTACATATCCAGCCCACTGCAGCATACAAATTTCAGTATCAAAGAATATTACTACTCTTACTATAAAATACATATCACATGTTAAGCTTGTGATGTACCTGTTCCATTGCGATGGATTCTGTAGATAACATCTTGAAGGACATCAGAGTAATAGATGTACTTATCCTTAAAATCAAAATCGAGGCCAACAAAGCGAGCTTTGCGTGATACAACTGGATTTATGGCATCACTGAATCCCTCAATCACAGGATCCAACACTCGCCCTTTGATGAACCGTTGCTGCGAATACATTAGAAATTCTTCAATAACTGCAAATAAACATCCAAAATATATTAATATTTTATATACTTCAAGCTTATTTTTATCAAATTAATTCTGTGGAATTTTCTGTGCAATTCTTTATAACATATACCAAATTATAATTAATAAAACATATTATTTTAATAAATTCAGGCATTTAATTATCGCGCAAGGAAAAATTATGATTCTACATTCCATCTTTTATACGCTCTCCACAGAACCTATTTCAGATTTTAGTACATTTTAAGTGTCTCTCATCTTATCTGAGTTCAAAACAATATATATAAGTGATTTTTTCTGATGATCAAAGATAGAATTTCTCACTCCTACAATATTTTCAGCTACAAAAAGGAATCTGCATCAAATTAAACAAACATTCTGTTCTTCTTTCCACTGTATTCTTATATTTATTAAATACTACTTATGATATGTTAACCCTCCCAAAACCCTACAAAAAAACAGACTATAACGCAAGACCTCATCCCACTCCATCACAAAAGTATAGCTGCTTTACAGGGCTTGTTCAAATGAACCCCGTTCAGAGTTCATTCTAGGCATAGAAGTAAATGCCATGACAAGCTGAGGCAGTTATCCCATTGACACAAGAGCCAACAGATCTCCTCTGTAAAGAATTTCTTGAACCACTGTACCAAAGTGCCATGACATCTTTGTCAAACCTTACTGTATTAACGGGTTTCATTTGAACAGCCTTTGTATGTTATTCAATATTTAAAATATATAACTCAGAAACTATAGCTAACATATGGAAGAACTGCCCCCTACACAATACAGCCTACTGAGGCAGTGAATTATTGTTTAACTCTTCAATAAAGTCACTGGCAGAGAGAAAAATATTAACACATCTGAGCACAAAGACTACTAACAATAATTTGTACAGAAGGATTTCTGTGTGATATATTGGAGAGGGTTAAGTATTATGACAATTCTGGGATAATCTAATTTAAACGGCCCATCTTACTCATTTGCAAAATGGACTTACATATGACATTTCTTTCACAACTTACGGTTACACCGCCGCTGGTCACTTCCAAGCATCCAACCGATGTTACAAGCACAGCGATAGCCCAACATTCCAGCACCATCACCAACGGTTACAATACACATCTGGTCACAGTTACCATTTTGATTTCCACATGGGTTTGATGCTGTGGAAGGCAAATATATTACATGACAAAGTAGAAATTAAATGGAATTGGAAAAGAATAAAAGTAAAACACATGGAGAAAATGTGGAAAATGCTTCATGACTGGAAGTCTACTACACCATTCAACATCACATACATCAATAGTCACAGAACAAGACACAATCATACAAATTTGGATGCTCTTCTCTATCTTCACCTCACTGCCTTAGTGTGAAGTCAACATATTCTCCTCAGCACCTTATTCTCAGACACCTCAATCTGTGTTTTTTCTTTAATGTGGAAGAACAAATTCAAAACCCATACAACACTATGAGCACTGCTAAAATTAAAACTTTATAGCTACAATTTTGTATATTTTAATCTTTACATTCTTCGATAGCAGATGAGAAACAATATGAACATCATAATGGAACTGTAGCAACCATTCCCAAAATCATCTGTTTCCATTCTTTCATAAACGAAATGTTTATTTCTTAGTGTTTCTTCCAAAACATTTGAGCCTTGCTACATTTTAAAAGACCTAACACAACAACTTAAAATAAACACTCATTTAGATAAGTGGACACAATAACGCTAGATAAAAAAAAATGTCCCTATCTACACACACAACTATACTTCAGTACTAATAATGTATACATAATTGGCTAATAACTATAAGTCTGTGTTGTCAGTTTCTTACCATAAGGCTGAATCAGTCCATGTACAGCCTTGACGCCCTTTGGTTCCCTCACTTCCCTTTTCCGGTACACTACCTGAATGGTGTTCTGACCCTGATATTTGTCGACACTCATAATACCCTGTTTTGTGCCATCAGACCAATAAACACGATCCTCAAACAGTGTAAGACGGGAAGGAGACGGTACTGTCTGACCTGAAAGTATAGCAATATTTTGGTAACAATGCCCTCATACATGAATTCTATCTGGACAGGGAAACCAACATAGCAACCAAAACAGGCATCAAATTTTGAGTCACATGACTATCCTTGGGAACACAATTCTCAAGCAAATCAGGGGACACATGCACTTGATGATTTTGCGTCATCATTACCTCGAACAACTAAGATCCTGTTGTTTCCTTCATAGTCTACTGTCTCAATGTAATCAAGCAAAGAGTCGCACCAAAACACTCGCTTTGCTATCAAATCAACTGCGACACCTGATGCCTTGTATGCAGCTTCTGAGACTATGGCCATGGCATTTGTACCATCCATGTTTGCACGAACAACCTGTGTGCTGTCAGCCACGAACATGTACCTGCAAGACAAGAAATGCATGACATGTAGATTAAACCTGCAGAGGGCATGAGTCAGAATAAAATCTAATAACACATTTCATAAAGAATAGAAATGTTAATTTATTTTGGAAGACAAAATTAAGTGGAGATTGAATTCGGGTAATGCTTGCTACCATTCAGTCCAGAAATTTTTGTCTTCTCATCTGCTGTCTAAAAACATACAAATTAAAATATTCTAAACGATAATTTTATCCCTGGTTTTGTATGGGTGTGAAACTTGGTCTCTGACAATAAGGGAGAACACAGACTGAGGGTGTTTGAGAACAGGGTGCAGAGGAGAATATATGGACCAAGGAGGGACGAAGTGATAAGAGGTTGGAGAAAACTGCATAATGAAGAGCTTCCTAACTTGTAAACTTCGCCAAATATAATTAGATTGATCAAGCCGAGGAGCATGAGATAGGCAGGTCATGTAGTAAGAACAGGGAGAAGAGGAATGCATGTAAGATTCTGGTGGGAAAGCCAGAAGAAAAGAGAACACTAGGAAGACCTAGAAGTCAAGACTCCACTGTACATGCATTTAAACGTTAAGTACAACCAACCAAAAACATGGCTGACAATGCAGCCCCCTTGAATACAAGTCCAGAACGCTATACTAATACTACTCCACCAACCTGCTTGATGCCAAGAACTGACAGTGCTAAAACCATATACTGTTAGTATGTACACAATGTCCAGTTCCAAGTTGCAAGTTGTTGTCTTACCCAACTGTTGGATCCAGTGCAATATCTGCTGGACTGCTCAGGTTGCTACCAAGCACAATGGCATGCCAATGACCATCAAGCTCAAAGACATCCACTTTCTGTCCGATAGCATCTGCTACATACAATTTGTCACCCACCCAATCCACTGCAATCGCAACTGGAGCCCATGTTCCAGGTAATGTGATGTCAGTATCAGATGAAACTGATGATACAGCTGACAGTAGTGGCTGTGAATGAATCTGTAAGATAGGAAGACAGAAAGACAATTTTTGTAAGCTTCGGTAATTCAACAGAGTTAACTGTAATGAACTAATAAGACATGAGGAGCACCATATCTTGAAACGAAGCTTTGACTTTTCTATATGGATAATATAACATTACTCTACCACAAACACATTTTTCTCACATGGTTTCCCTGAAGACAGATTCTTTGCCATAATATGGGGCGTCCTATTCATCAATGGTCATTATAGCTTTATCTGAGAATGCATGTGCATTCAATCTTATTGAAATAATATTTGCAGGAAAACCGATATGTCAGATATTAAAACACATAACATTCCTACAAACTAGTTTCCTAGATATCTGATCTGCTGTAGCTATTTCATGTTAGAAAACATATACACAACATCCCATACTGCAACTAAAAACTACTAACATAAAAAAGGGATGCTGTATATAATTATTTATACACATTTTTGTCTGCAAATATACTTACATATTTTCATTAAATTCGTTATTTTGTATCCACGATAAAGGTTACGGAGTGAATTAATTTTTGTGTTCATGGATAAATTATAGTCACTACTTTACAAGATTCTGAACTTCATAAATCTCAAACATTTTCAGTGTGGTACATATTTAATGAAACGGAAAGAAAGGTGTCATTGGGTCCGAGGACTTCATGGCAATGACTATGAAGAGTGTGGTCCTCTAGGTTACTGCCTGCTTACTGCTGATTTGTTGCAATCCTGAGGGTGGCGGCAGTACATGCCTCTGAAATTCTGGCAGACTTCTCCTGAACTACACAGTATCAAAACCCAGAAGACAGTTCTGGTCAAAAGAAAAATAAAACATTTTCTAACTCTGCGCATCACATCTGCAACAAGGAACCCTCTAACACTGGATTAACTGGAGATTAACAAAGATCATGTACCTTTCGAGTTTTTACATCAGACCAGAAGAGCTGATTGCGCCTGTAGTGAAAGTCCAGGCCACTGGCACCAGTTGTATTTGCTACGAGCTGAATGTCATGGCCTTGTGCTGTCATGCGCCAGACAGAATGGTCATGAGCAAAGAATAGTAAAAGTGAAGAGCTATTGGGAGCTACACATTGGGAACGATCCACAAGTGTGTATCCAGGCATGCAGGAACACTGGTACGAGCCATCAGTGTTCTCACACAGCTGATGACAGTAGCCCCATTCCCGACACTCATCTTTATCTGTAACATACACCATGTATATTCAAATAAAAATTAAAACGTACTATGCTTTCTTTAGTATAATTACTCTATTTACCCTTGTAACATTTTCAAACTCTCCTACACTCGATTCCTGCGTATATCCAACTCCTTAGAGAAAGTTTCCAATGTGCAATAAACATTGGGCATGTAGCACGAATAGGGGAGATGAGGAATGCATATAGGATATTGGTGGAAAAGCCAGAAGGAAAGAGACCACTAGGAAGACCAAGATATATATGGGTGACAATATTAAAATGGATCTTAGAAAGATAGGATTGGATGGTATGAACTGGATTGATCTGGCTTGGGATAAAGACCAGTGGTGGGCTCTTGTGAACACAGTAATGAACCTTCAAGTTCCATAAAATGACGGGAAGTTCTTGAGTAGATGCACAATTGGCAGCTTCTCAAGATGGGTTCAACTCCGTGAGTGAGTGGTAAAAAACATTCACTGGATTAGTCCTGTCCACTTCCTGGTTTTTTTCCAAAGACAAAAGATTCACTTTGATGGATGCTGTATGAATCATTCAAGAACTACACTATGGTCAGCAATTTAGCACCAAAGAAAAACTTCCAGTAAAGTAGAGTTTACAGAATGTTTGCAAAACTGAGTATGCATATTGCATATGAATATAGAAAGAATTTCTTGAAATGTGAACTAGTTTTGTGTGCTCTGATTTAAGCAACATATAACAAAATGAACTTATTGTTCATGTATACTTCATACACAAATTTCATTTTAGTAACAGTTTCTTTGCAGCTATTAATTTATAATGTGAATATTAATCAGTGACTGTTACCATTTCACAGAATATTTTTTGCAATTGTCTGATTGATCTATTTCATTTCATCAAACAACTAAACATCACTGAACTTTAAATCAACATACCTATACATGACCGGCTGTCGTTTGCTACTTGTCGCCCATCAGAACAGTAGCAGCTGCCACCTGTCAGCGATGCTTGGCACTTATACTCACATCCCAGAGATGGGCAGCTACTGGAAGCTATAAAATAAACACAGAAAATCAACTAATTAATGGATCAAGCAGCTTTTCTGTGGTATAGGCTATAACAGTGTCAATATTTTGGCCTACAGTGAAACCTTAATCAAAGCTTCTTTCCATATTCCAATCTTTTTCATCATTTTTTCTAGACAAAAGCTAAAATAGTACCTAAACGTAGGCCACACTAGCTAAATTCCACATCGGTTTTAAATTCATAATTCTGTAACCATCCTACCATTCAATGCATTATAGTTTCAGCTACTGATAACATTATTAAAACACTATGCATAAATAAACTCATTTCCATGACATTATATCAGCATGAAAACCAGAAATGAGATCTGAACACTCACAACATGCTGTTTCCTCATCTGCTGAATCCTCACAATCCTTCTTTCCATCACACAAGGATGAACGTTGAATGCACCGAGGCACTCCCCCCGGACCTCCATTGGGGCACAAAAACTTGTTCCCTGGGCAAGCAATAGCTGTGCAGTTCTGTTCATCGGTACCATCTTGACAGTCTCTGTAGCCATCGCAATGGAAACTGGCGGGAATGCACAACGCATTCTCACAACGGAACTGGCCCACATGGCAGGGTGGAAAATCTGAAACCAGGTACTTTAACAGAAACTGGAAAAATGTTTATTTCTTCAATATACAACCGAAAGAAACAGCAAGATAAATGAAATTTTAACTTAATGTCTAAGTTACAGGAAGAGCTCAGTTGGTATAACAGGCTATGGGCTGGACATGTGGGGTTTGTTTCCTGGCACAAGTAACGACTTTCTCTTCTCTGGGGTCCACCCAGCCCCGTATCCAATGCATATTTGGGGATCTTTCACCAGAGATAAAGCTGCCAGGTATTGTAGCTGACCACTCACCTCCATCTAGTGCTGAGGTTAAGAACGGTGGAGCTACATCTCTACTCCCTATATGCCTTCATGACAGTGCTTAGTGAATTAAGTACAGAGACAACTTTACCTTTACCTTCTACAATTTAAGTTACATCAGCTGTCCTCAATGAACATTACTGGGAAGACACAGACATACTTGGAAGATAATACAATGAATCTTTAAGGAAAGAGATGAGGGTGTAAAATGGGTTCATCTGACACAGGACAGACACAAGTGAATATGGTTCGAATCTTCAGGTTCCATAAAATGGGTACAACTTTACAACCTTGTAATTTACTGACAGGGACAAAGGAAAGTAATGAAAAATGTCGGTCACGACAGGTGGTATTCATGTGGAATTCTAAACCTAGGACACAAGTGAAATAAAATTACATTATTCGTTATATATGTGAGCAGTGCATTTTTCTCTTTGCACCATGATCAGACCTATTGTGGGACTGGTTCAGTCTTCAATTCAATGGGTTCTAATAACCACTCCCTTGGGGGTAAAGGCAGCCAGAAAGTGAGCATGATCACAGACTTCCAACCCATGATTACCTGCAAGGAGCATGGAGTTTCTCCTCTCCTTCAACACACCTTAACAGCACAGCACAGGTGCAATTTTGCCTTCATTAGTTTAATTATAGATAAAAAAGTGTCTGTAGAAAGAATAAGTTAAAGTTGTCCTTATGCTTATTTAAGCACCAAGTCATGAAGAGTTCAAAGGGTGTGGAGGTATACCTCTATACATTCTTAACCCTGGCGCTAGATAGACATGAGAGAACAACTTCACGCCTTGGCTGCTTTACCATCAGGAAAGAAAGTGCCAGTGGCAAATGATAGGAGGGACCCTGAGCCAATAGGACTGTGCAGAAGGGAAAAATATCTTGCTCCTGACAGAAACTGAAGCCCACAGAGAGTCACTACACTAACTGAGTTATTTCTCAAGAATACTCACTGCAATTCTCTTCATCACTGTTATCACCACAGTCATTCCGGTGATTGCATTTCAGAAAGTTGTCAATACAGCGCTGTTTGTTGGCACACCGGAACTGATCTAATGAACAAGACACTCCATGATCTGGAGGACAACCCTCTTCATCTCTTCGGTTCCGACAATCATAATAACCATCACACTTTTTCTCCTTTGGTAAACATGGTCCCGAGTTAGAACCACACCGGAAGTCCTCAGTTTGGCACTTTCGATACGCTGCAACAAAAAGACTTGGTTAAGATATGGCAGTTCTAAAATATGTTTCATATTTTGAAACGGAGATGTGTAGTGGATGAAGCTGTAGCCCAAGTAGTCCTTTGTATTATTACTTTGAATGACATTATTGTGATATGCAGACCCACTGCCAAGTAACAGCTGTGTAAACAGGTGATATAGACATGATCTGTTTGCAAAGCATGGACTGACATATGATTTGGACCTAAGTGCACAGGGAAGAATTTTCAGTACCATGCTTCATGTGTGATAAGTACACTCAACAAAGGCGAAACCTCTTCATAAGAGACGAATCAATCCCCTCATTAGAGAGGAAGTGAACATAAAGACTATGACCCCAAGGGTTTTTATTTGAAAAAAAAATTCTGCTTGGCAGCAAGATGAGCTGATTGGTGGTAAAGAGCAAGTCGTAAAGTAACTCTGTAACAGCCCAATAAATCCAATTACCAATCCAAACCCCATCTACAGTCATTCACATGAAAATGTTTTTAATAGGAGGCTTCATTTTGTTTCATATTTGTGTGGTAATATAAAAATTCAGTTCATTTGATGCTGTAAATGGTTAGATTAGCATGACAACATATGGCAGGAAACTGCCAATGCAACAAACAACAAAGACTGATTTACAGGCTAATTATCTTGTTTGTAGTATGAGAAATGTTAATGTAAAAAATAAGCATCTCCTAACAGCTATACAACATTTTCAGAAGACAAAGTTGTAGCAATTTATGCATAAGATAATGCTACACCCTCAAAATAAAAATGTTCATTAAAGTAAAAACAAATATCATGAAAACTGTATTGATTTAAAATGAGGGTTATATATATCACCCATACTCCCCAGTTATATTAAGAGGGATATTAAGAATTAAAAACTACCTAGACTATCTCTTTCCACTAGGTCAGAATGTTTTAATTAAAAGGAACAAAGATTTCTATTTGTTTACCAGGCATCTAGAATCTTTAAACATTGTGTGAATTTCTTTTGATGAATAATTTAACAGAACTCTGCAATCACTAACTGATATGTTAAATTATATGTAACTGCCTAGAACATACTTAATTAGTTGATCCAGCTGCTGAAGACAAGACACGCATCAAGAACTGACATGTATTATTTTTAATTCTGTTGATTTCAAGGGGTTGTTTCCATAATCATTTTGAATTTCAGAATTGGAGGTTAAATTTGATTTTTATGAAGCTTTTAAATAATAAATGCATTTGAAACAGGGTAAATTATTGTATCTAAATGAAATATGAGTATCTTATCATTGAAGAAAAATGTATTCTATAAACTCGTAATAGTAAATGGCTTTAAACTACGAATGTGTGTTATGTGACACAGTTCTACGTTTGAAACGCTTTCATCTGAAGGATAACATGCAACTTAATTCAGTGCTTTAACAGAGAGTGAAGAAGGGAAATGAGAGAGAGAAGGAATGAGGTTGACGGATAAAGATATGAGATAAATGACTCCCTGCTGAATTTTAATGGAACGTACTAGTAATGCTATGCTAATACTGGTTGAAAATGAAAACTATGTTATCATTCCAGGGCGGAAGGTTCTATTTGTGAGTCTGTTACTCATACTCCGCTGAGAACGAGTTCAAAGTCCTGTTAACAGTTCTCTGTAATGGAAAATTACAGCCATATTTTCTGAATTTTAGAAATATTAACAGAACTGTAAAATACATAATACATAAGATATACAAGGGAATTTCAGTTTAGTTATTAGCATGTCTGTAATAAAGAACATAGGTGGAAAGAATAAGAAAGCTTCTGTAAGGTGCAATACAGGTACATAAATTATGTTTAGAGTCGTCATAAAGAACTGTTTCTTTAGCACAAGAAAGTATCTGTTCAGATAAAAAAACAAGAGTGAAAACTGTACTGCATTTAATTTCGTAGCAGAACGGGTTTCCAAATGCATGATGCTGAGATGTAAATACATTTATCTTATGCAAAACAACTTGCATGAGGAGTAGGCCTTTTTATAAGAAGTAAATGGTGACTAAAACCCAATACATCACTTGTAGCTATACAGAAGAGAAGTCTACAAATATTCATAGAAACGTCTTTCGGAGATTCACTATACACTAATAAAGCTCTAGCACTCCTGTATCTTAGCCTGTATGCTGCACCCCATAAGTGGCTAAAGGGTATTCTAAAAAAGAGACAGAACATTGTTTTCTTTGTGATGTTTCATAACAGAGTAAATTTTTCCTGGGTGGGTTCGTCAGCCCAACACCCAACCCACAACTTGGAGGACCAAGGACTACACTTCTTCTGGCCCCTACCCTTTGAGCCGTTTGGCATGGGTGGCTCTACCAGGAGGTTACGCTCCCGCCAGCATAGCTCTCCTAGTCACTGGTGAGCGTAAACATCCTTTCCACGATAAGGCGGTAGTCCTCCAGGAGGTGTGTTTCATATGATTCAGCAAAAAGCTATTTTTCCCCTAAAAATCATTAACTGGTTGATCTCTGGAATGGAAACACGCCGTTGGATTTGGCGTTTTTACGATTATGAATATGGAGAGTAGATTCTTCTGGGATGTGGCATCGTGTGCTTCGGAGTTATATTATAACGCAGAAGTCCATACTCCTGAGAGATAACAGTGTGTGTACTAAAGCGTACAGACTGAATTTGTATAAAATTATTTAAATAAATTTCGTGCAGCAAACTAATAGCTATGTTGGATTCGAGCTTCTCAAAGCGGTGACTATGGAGTGTTCTGTCTTCTAGGATACAATGTCGTGTTAGTTCGGTGAAAGTCTATCGACGTTTCGGAGGAACAGTGCCTGCTACATGCTGGTTTCTTCCTCTGAAACATCGCTTGACTTTGACCGCACTACATGGCGTTGTGTCATATGTCATAGAAGACCGAATTCTCTGAAACACAATGTGTTTAGTGCGAAGGTAGGAAGTAAATTTAAGGTGTAAGTGAAAGGTGCGGGAACGAGTTCCACATACCGAAACAAGAAATAATGTTCATACCGACATGTGTCCGGAAACATCTAATTTGTGAGTTAATAGCTAAAGGAATACTGCTATGACCTATTTAATTATTCATTTTAGCCGAGATGTTCCGAATAACACCTGTCATGGCCGATGGGTAGATAGGAGGAGAATCTATTGCATGGCCTCCACGCTCACCTGACTTGAATCCTCTGGATTTTTACCTGTGGTGACACTTAAAGTTTCTTAATTGTAGCTCCTGTTGACAACGAAGAGGCACTTCACCATCAACTGTGGATGCCTGTCAGTCTATCCGCATCTTCGAACGGAAGCTGCGGTCCATGACGAGACGTGTCGACGCATACATCTCATGAAGGACATTTTGAGCGCTTACTTTAAGTGCACTAGTTCAGCTACAACTCACAAATTAAATTTTTCCGGACACATGTTAATATGAACACTTCTTTTTCTTGTTTTGGTAGGTGGAACTCATGCCCAACGTCTGTATATTTACACTCTATATATGAACATTATTTAGATGAAGTTCATGCTTTAGAAAGCTAAACTTACTGCATTCTGCTTCGTCTGTACCATCGACGCAGTCAACTGTCATGTCGCACCGGTGGTGTGGAGGAAAGCAGTATGTCTTGTTCCACATGTACTGACCACAGGACTGCTGCCCGGGCTCGCAGTCGGGAGGTGCTGAAACAATACAATTGTCACTGAGCGTGGGGCCGGAGCCATTATTCCAACTGCAACCAGAACTGCTATGGGGCCCACACAAGTGACATGAACATCAAATTCTTATGGATGTGCTCTACTGCGTAACTTCTGCTCTCCTGCCAGAATTTTAATGGCTTCCTCTCGGCCTTGCCACGCAGGACCAGATTAACAGTTGTGGGGGCACGGGGGCAAAAAAAAAATATATCGAGACCCTGGGGGTATTGGAAAGGTGGGGGACCTCGGGAACAATCAAAACGTGGAGACGCCGGGGGCAATCAAAATGTGGGGATTCCGATTGGTAACAACAATTTTAAGCTATGACATTTCTCTCCCTTTCCCTTGTTTTTGTTTTCATTTCTTATAACAACTAAAAATACAAACCATCTTTTCGTAAATTAATAGATGTAAATGTCTTAGTAAAACATGTAGATTATATTTCTGCATTGTGGAGGCTCCGGGATGACCACCACGGTCGCCCTGTCCCTTAAATTCGGCCCCGTTTCCATGCGAACAGGCGTTGGGAACAGGGTACAACTACGGAGAAGGATAGCGCAGCAGCAACGTTGCAGACTTATGTTCGGGAGGTGTTCGGTTACAAACTCGAACATGATACCAGCTTCGTGGTTTTCCCCCGTTCCTCTACGATACTTCGGGAGAGTATCTCGATCAGAATATGACCGCTTCCTTCCAGATTATTTCCAATTCATCGTTTATCAAGATCCTACACTTTGACGCTTTGGATATTGACAATGTTCTGAAAAAAAAAACGAAGAAAGGAAAGTTTGCAGCTGGCTCAATCCAAATGCTTACCTAATCGCAAATCACAATCGTCTACCAATCATACTCAATGTTATATTTATGCAATACAGTTAATCAACAATTATTTATTACTTATAACTAGTAGATACGCAGTTTTATAAGGCAAATTTTCGTTAAGATATTCTGCGACGTGTCTCGACTGTAAGAGCCATCATTGTGGCCCCTAAAACTAAAAAAACAAACTCCGTGGCCTATAGACCGCAAGCGAACTATACCGACCGAGCGACCGCCGCTTGTCAGCATAGTTAGTGCCAACTTTTGTGGATAGAGGGTGTCGCGTGGTCAGCACAACGGAACCCCACACATAACTACAAATAAATACTGGCAAACGCTGTAATTAGAATATTATACATAGCGTTTGTTCACTGGGTGTAACAGAGCATACAGGTAAATAACAATTATAAATTATATATCAAATCCGTTACGCATGAAAATCGTTAAATGACGTAACAATTAATACGGTCGGATTCTTCGCAACCCAAAAATACACCAAGCCGACGGCCTTATCACCTATTTTCGATCGTATTTCATGGGAACCGGAATAGCTTAGTCGGTACAGCGATTAGCCTATGAACTGGATGGCCAGAGTTCGATTCCCGGCAGGGGCGAGATATTTTCTTCTGATTCACAGCGTCAAGACCGGCTCTGGGGCCCACCCATCCACTTATTCAGTGGGTACCAAGGATTGTTTCCGTGGGGGTAAAGCAGTCGCGGAGTGAACCTGACCACCCACCTCCATCTAGTGCCGGGGTCAATAATGGTGGAGCTACACCTCTACTCTACCATATGTCTTCATGCCGTTGGGCTTAATTAAGAACAGGGACAATTTTACCTTTTACCGTAAATATTCGGCATCGCTTCGCTACAGTCTGTGCTGTGCCACTCATCTGAGCACTGATAACAACTTGCTTTTAACGTGACACTACATTCCGAGCCACATCGTCACCTCCGCATTATTAGCTAGATCAAATGCGCATGCGCGGCTCTTACAAGTGATACTGGTACTATCGGCCACACTGAAGTGTGCAGCCAGCTACAGAGAATTTGTTTACGCCTTAAGATTGAAATGGGGAAGCGCTAATATAGAATTATTATGGTGCTGAATCAGCCTTGGAGCAAACCAGACCTTCAATTATTATTACGCAATGCTGCATAACCAGCGAGACATGTGTACATACGGGATGATTCATTCTTACGTTTGCGGTCTTACTACCGTCCGCTCGCAGAGCGAGACCCCGGTCGGTGCTGGGCTTCTCTCCGAAGAGAAAATCGACCGCTACCGCCTCTGTGGCCTAGTGCACGGAGTTCCTGGCTGCAGATCTAGAGGTCCGGGTTCGATTCCCGGCGATACCAGATTTTCTGAGAAGTAGTGGGTCTGGAACGGGGTCCACTTAGCCTCGTGAGGATAACTGAGGAGTTACTTGAATGAAAAATTAGCGGCTCCGGTCTATAAAACCGAAATTAACGGCCGTGGGGATTCGCTGCGCTGACTACGCGACACCCTCTATGAATAATAATTGGAGACAGGATGTGAAAGGAATTGGCCGTGACCTAATTTTGGTGTACTATCCAGGAACTTGTCTGAAGAGACTGGAGCAAACCATGAAAACCTGTCAGAATAGCCAGTATCCTGTGGTAGATGTTATCAGCAAAACAACTTTACTTCATAATACAGAATGTCCTAAAAGTCTGTACCGATGACACAGCTGTTATGATACACGTTCAACGCCGATGCAAACGCACAAACGTTTGGGCCAGAACAAGAAAATGGCGCGAACTGTTTGCGACGTGATCTCGCTGCGTGCAGTGACAATTTCTTCCAGAAGATGTTACTCCCTATGGTACCAGAATTACGGGATACCCTGTATAAGACAGTGGTGTCCTCCAATATTGACGCACGTTTCTATAACGGCGTAACAAATTCCGTGACACAATGAAGTTCGCTTTTCACGATTTCCAGAATAAAATAGCTATCCCTGTAACAGGCCGTGAAGGCCCATAGGGTGAGACGTCGAGGCTCCCACATTTTCTAGACAATCGGCTCACAGATGGCGGTGAGGCTGTCAGCCCTACGCGCTGGCCGGCCGCCCTTTATCCCTCAGGAAGATTCCTGGTAATCATATCTGTTAGAGGCTGAGTCGACCCCAGGGCCATAGTGCGGCTGGAAGGATTTAGTCACTTAAAAATCCGACGTTCTCATCGAGAATCGAACCCGCGACCTTCCGGCTTGTAACATAGTACCTCAACCAACTACGCTGAGTGCCCCTTTCTAGAACAATATTCCAGATTTAAATATATAAGGAATCCAAATGTATTTGTTTTATTCTGCAAACATAGTTTTAGTGTAGATCTCTTGGGTTGCAGTCAGGAAGAGAGCCCGAAGTTTCAGATACATATCGTTCCCATCTTCAGGTTCGAAAGAGGAGCCGTTGTCTAGCAATGGGTCTACGTCACAATATATATTTTAGACACACACCACTTAAGGCTCTGAACCTTCGTATTCTACTATGAGAGATTAACTACAATTGCAGTAATATATGCATGACAGGCCTACACAGAGGAAGGTAAACATTCATTAGTGTCTTAGTCTCAGAATATCGCCAAAAGCAGTATTCTCCCCAACCTTGGCTTCAACTGTGTGAACTTTGTTACATGAGGTGTATTGAGGTTAATCCTATCTAAAATTGATGCATCTGATGAGATCGTGCCGACAAACGATCCTTTGAGCTCACTAAAGGTGCCTTCCAAGTTGAGGTAACTGAATTAGGCCTTAGGCTTTCACCGACAGTTAACAATACAGGCCAGCACTTCACACTTGTTAAGTCATGCATGGCGAAGAAGATGATGCCAAAGTGACTATCTTCCAAGTATCGTTCATGCATGCGAGGGAATTTGAAGGAACGGTTGCCGGGAGACCGCACGAACACAGGTATGGCAGTCAGCAGTTTGGTGGGTAAACAGAGATGGCGCTGGAGGGAGGCGTACACGGGAAAGCGTGTCTAACCCAAGTCCCGAGCCATTACACAGGCCAACAGCTGTTTTGGTGCCGGGGTATTTGGAGCTGATTTCATATGAATTTGATGCCCTGAATTCAAATATGGCATTAGTTTTTGCCTAGGAGCTCAAATTTTTAAGATATAACATTTTGGTGAAATATACGTTACACTATTTTAAGTTAAATCAGTGGATCAAATAAAAAAACTCAACATGGAATTTTTATTACTACATTATATTTATATTTTTATTTTATTATATTAAATACAAAGATAGAGGAAAAAATCATCGACTATATATAACAGTCAAACCAACTATAGTCACGGAACACTACGGAAGCTTCTTTTTCGTGACTTTCTTGAATGTATTTTAGAACAGTCCCTTTTTAAACTCCAGCAGTAATCTGCCATCATGTGTGTATCCCATCTTCCTTGGTAGCGGTCCTCCATAGTTTTAATATCCTGGTGAAATCTTTCACCTTGTTCCTCACTGGTGTCTCCTAAATTTTCAGGAAAACTATCTAAGTGACTGTGTAAATAGTGCACCTTAATGCTCATGTTACAGCCAAGGGATTTGAAACTGTTAAGCATCTCGTTTACCAGTTCAACATAGTTTTCAGCTTTGTGTTTGCCCAGAAAATTTTCGACAACTGCAACAAATGAAGTCCAGGCTTTTCGCTCAGCCTCGTTCATCGAATTTGCGAAGGCAGGATCCTTAATGAGTTGTCTTATTTGTGGGCCGTCAAATATTCCTGCTTCAATTTTTTCCGTACTCAACTGAGGCATTTTCATTTCTATATATGCAAAGCATGATCCGTTCTTATCAAGGGCCTTTACAAACTGCTTCATAAGGCCCAACTTGATATGCAGTGGAGGAAAGATGATTTTCTCTCGTCTAACTAAGGGATCGTTAATGATATTCTTCTCCCCAACGTACATGTTTTCTCTCTTGGGCCATTCTTTTCTAACCCAGTGGTGTGTTTTGTCTCTGCTATCCCAGAGGCACAAAAAGCAGGGATATTTGGTGTAACCACTTTGCTGTCCAAGGAGAAAATTTACCATTTTTAAGTCCACACAAATCACCCATTGATGTTCATGATACTTTATCTTCTCTAAGACCAAAGCTATGGTGTTATATTCTTCTTTCATTTTCGTGGAGTGAGCAATTGGTATTGAACCATATTTGTTTCCATTGTGTAGAAGGACACATTTCAAACTTCGCTTTGAGCTGTCAATAAATAGGCGCCAATCATCGGGAAAATATTCAGGAAGAGCCATTTTTTCCAAGAGTCCTCTAATTTCGTGACAATATACAAGATTGTAATCTTGAGAGAAGAAGGGTAGCAGATCCGTTTCTCTTGTGCGGTAAAAGGAAATTTTGGTTTCTTGTTCCAGTAAATTTTTGTCGTTCAACCTAGAAGCCAGTAATTCAGAAGCTTCTTTTGACAGGTTGAGATCTCTGATGAGGTCATTTAACTCATCCTGGTTAAAACGTTGAGGGATTGACGACATCCCTTCATAATCACTGTCACCTTCATTACAATCAGAAGGGTGATTAGAGGGAAAATACTCATCCTCACAGAGCTCTGGTAGCTGGTGAAACGTTGGGATCGGTACTTCCTCTGAGTGAGGAACTGGGCGTCTTGCAGAGGCTAAATCAGGATAAGTCCACTTGCTACGGTTGTTTCGATTGATTCCAGTAATATTTACTAGGCAGAAATAACAGTCATCGAAGTGGTTCTTGGGTTCTCTCCAAACCATCGGTACGCCGAATTTCAGACTTTTTCTTTTCCCGGTAGTCCACTGTCGTAAATGTTCTGTACAAGTTTTACAGACCTGATGCGGTGCCCAGGTTTTATCCTGATCACCAAGCCTAACACCAAAGTATACAAAATAAGCTTTCTTTACAAAGTCACTAACAGTTTTTCTGTTTTCTTTTAACGTGTATTCTCCACATATGTAACAAAACACATCAGGTTGATTTATACAACTTCTTCTTCTTGAACTCATTTTATTTCAATTCAGGAACACAAACACAACAATCTTCAACACAGTACGTTTTAGGTTAAATTTATAACAACTCTTTTACTTTTATAAACAAATATCACCCGAGGCCAACTTCGATGTACCCTGCACGGCGAGAACATATAAACTAACCTCAACTCTAGTGGAAGCGTTCAAGTTCACTTCACACCGGACAGACAATGCCATCTAGTGGATTTTGGGGGAACTCAGTGGACAGCAGACTGACAATAGGGCAAATATACAGGAACCAATCCTTGCATATGAGATTTAGAACTGCACAAAATACAATTAGAACTGCACATTTTGTGTAGAACTGCACGTTACAAAAACGCTGATCTAAAAAAGTAGAGCTGGTAGAGAAAAACTGATTTTATATTTAGATTCAGCGCCTTAAATATAACTAAAATTAGTTCTAAAATCCTAGACACCAAAAAAAAATTTTTTTTTGTAGGCCTGTGTTATCTAAAGACATGAAAATGAAGACATTTCATCGCCTGTTGAACTTGAAGTTCATTCAAAAGTAACTAAGAGGACTATTATCTTCATTCCGGGACAAGTTTGCGGACGTTTCGGAATATCCTACTACTAAAAACAAACTCCGTGGCCTGTAGTCCGCAAGCGAACTATACCGTCAGAGCGACCGCCACTTGTAGGTGAAGTTAGTGCCAACTTTAGCGGATAGAGAGTGTCGCGTGTTCAGTACAACGGAACCCCACTGCTGTTAATCTCGGTTTTCTAAGCAGGAGCAACCATTTCCTTGAAATATCTCCTCAATTATCCTCAGGAGGGTCCCTCAGTGGACCACGTTCCAGACCCACTACTTCTCAGAAAATCTGGTAGCGCCGGGAATCGAACCCGGGACCTCTGGATCTTTAGCCAGGAACTCTGACCACTAGACCAGAGAGGCGGTCACAGAACCCACTACCATTAGGGTCTAATAGAAAGCCAAGCAAGTAGGAAGTAAGAAACAGGCGCTCTGCTTGAAGTCTACCGCTGGTTGTTTGTTTGGCTTACTCCTTCACCCTGATGATGAAGGCAATACTTCCCTCTGAAAGCTCGAAGGACTATTGCACTACATGGCCTTACACCCCTAGAACAACGTACTCTTCGTTTTATTGTTTACCGCTTCATCCTCTATTAAATGTGGGCTCTTGACATGAGCAATGAGTATACATTTCAAGTACAGTATACAAAACTACGAGGAAGAGTCAGTAAATTGGCCACAAATGGAAATAAAACAGCTGAAATGGATGTAATAGTTTTCCTGTGTGTATCACTAGGTAGCAGCACAGTTCAACTTCATGAATGTCTAAGCAGTACACGGGCATGCGCATATTCAGAGGCTCGTTTCAGTAGTCAAAATGGCGACTGTGTTTGAGGTGTGTACTATTGAAAATCGTAATTCTGCTATGCTTTTTGTGGGCAAAAGGACTCAATGCAAAGGATGTTCATAAAGAAAAGTGGGAAGTGTTTGTCGTGTAAAGCGGATAACAACTGGGTGGCAAATTCGCTGATAACGCAGAGGTTGAAGCAGGGGTGAGGATGTGGCTGAGACAACAGTCAAAACACTTTTATGCTGCAGGTTTCGATGGACTGGTAAAGCGATGGGACAAGTGTCTCAATGTTGTGTAGAGGATATATCGAGAAATAACTTTTCCCAGGTTCGAATATCACATGTTTTATATCTATTTGTGACCTATTTACTGACTCTCCCTCGTAATATTATAATTTTGTTTCTTGCTTTTTGCTTCGCGATAGTTTCTTGATTTATTTTTCTGATCTGAAGATGGAGGCGCCATGTCACTCTGAAACGTCGTGTGACTTTAAACGGACCACAAGAGCATTACGTCCAAAAAGACAGAAGCCTTCATAACCACGGCTGTGAGAATATCGGATCCTAATATAATGATTATATATTTTGCAGAGATGGTCCAGATTCATCTGGCTCAGGTGCTGACCAATAGTACGTTCGTGTGAAGAAGAAAACGAAATTTTGGATTTCATAATAGGCAGGAAGTTCCTTGATTATGTGCGTGACTGCAAGGTTCTTCAATGCCTTCACTCTGGGCACTTATTTTATTTTGAAAAAAAAATGTAAATACAAAAAAGGCCTAGGCAATGCCCATCCTGCCCTCTGTAGCATATTCTTATAAACATCTTATTCTACTACAGCTTTTACCCCGCGATATTTTAATATTTCTCTTAATTTAACTCTAAGAATATACTATTAATATTTTCTACATATATTTCTTTTTTAAAATAAATATAGGAATGCTATTTATGAAGTAACAGACGCCTTGCACAAATCTTTCTTCTTCTAGCCTTAAGAGCTCTGTAACTGACTCTGGGTATGCCCATCACTGTTGCCTGCTGGTCCTCGTACTCTTTACAGCCCCAGAAGATATGTTCCTCCGTTTGCAGCCCGTCACTGCTGCCCGCTGGTCCTCTTACTCTTTACAGCCCCAGAAGATATGTTCCTCCGTTTGCAGCCCGTCACTGCTGCCCGCTGGTCCTCGTACTCTTTACAGTCCCAGAAGATATGTTCCTCCGTTTGCAGCCCGTCACTGTTGCCCGCTGGTCCTCGTACTCTTTACAGTCCCAGAAGATATGTTCCTCCGTTTGCAGCCGGTCACTACTGACTGCTGGTCCTCTTACTCTTTACAGCCCCAGAAGATATGTTCCTCCGTTTGCAGCCCGTCACTGCTGCCCGCTGGTCCTCGTACTCTTTACAGTCCCAGAAGATATGTTCCTCCGTTTGCAGCCCGTCACTGCTGCCCGCTGGTCCTCGTACTCTTTATAGTCCCAGAAGACGTGTTCCTCCGTTCGCAAACCGTCACCACATTCGCATTCGGCCCTGGAAAATCGGCTCACAGATTGCGGTAAGGTTGTCAGCCTTACCCACCGGCCGTTCTTTACTCCCAGGAAGATTCCTGGTACTCATTTCTGTCAGAGACTGAGTCGACTGCAGGGGTGGAAGGATTGCGCAAATTGTAAAATCCAATGACCTCATCGGGAATCGAACTCGCGACCTTCAAGCTTGTAGCACAGTGCCTCAACCAACAACCCTGCCGTGTGCCGTGGGTACATATTTGTCAAATTGTGTTGTGGAATGGATTAATCTGGCTCTGAGTTAGGGCCACTAGCAGTCTGGTGTGTGGAAGGAAATTAAATTCAAGAGTTTCAAAAAAAGGACGTAAATTTTTTTATTAGTTTGGCGAATGTAAGCTTCCCATAAAGAACTCTGTTTCACGAATTTATGTACCATAATATCATGGATGTACAACTGTACTCTTGAAATCACAAAATCGTTACTCATCGAGAAAATCACCACGTTTTTCTGATTGTAATTTCCATCATTTTTGTGGGAACAAGCGTAAAACAAACTTATTTAGACGGCGCTGCAGACGATACTGGAATACAAGGCAAAGTAGCCGCCTCTAACGCACTAATTACACACTGTGACGTCAGAGCTTCGTTAATTAGCTGAGTGCGATTGTTGTTTACTTACGACAAGCCTGGAATTCATCTTCTCCTTTCTCGCAATCTTTCTGGTAATTGCACACCCACAGCGAAGGGATGCACTTGCCTTCTGGGCAGCGGAACATCCCGGGAGCGCAAAATGACCCATCTCCTGTAACACAAGACAGATCACCCGTATATGAAGTATATGGTATACCTTTATATTTATCTTTTATCTTATTTTATGTATTTGCTACTTTAATTATAAAGTCCCGATGAGGTCAATTGATTTTTTCAATTGACCTAATCCTTCCAGCCGCACTATGGCCCTGGGTTCGACTCAGCCTCTAACAGAAATGAGTACCAGGAATTAATTAAATCTTTGAGCCGATTGTCTAGGAAATGTGGGACCCTCAACGTCTCACAACCCTATGGGCCTTCATGGCCTGTTACACGGATAGCTTTACTTTTTTTTTTTACTTTTACCAAATTTAGGCAAAAGTTTTACGTCAGTATATAAGACGAAGCGTTGCACCGATAGGGATCCATATTGGTAGTTTAATGACTATACGTATTCCTGTGTATTACTTCTTGATGATGGTCTTATACGGCCGAAACAGGTAGGCAGCAATAAGCTCGACATTAAAACTGCGTTGTTGTGTTTGACGGTAGACATAATTCCTCTATATATATATAACAAAACAAAAACAAACAAACTCCGTGGTTTTAGTTCGTACGCGAAATATACCGACCTACCGACAGCCGCTTGTCGGCAAAGTTAATGCCAACTTCAGCGGATAGAGGGCGTCGCGTGGTCAGCGCAACGAATCCCCACGGCCGTTAATTTCGGTTTTCTGGACCAGAGCCGTTATTTCCTTGAAGTAGCTCCTCAATTATCCTCACGAGGCTGAGTGGACCCCGTTCCAGACCCACTACTTCTCAGAAAAAAATCTGGTAGAGCCGGGAATCGAAACCGGACCTCTGGATCTGTAGCCAGGAACTCTGACCACTTGACCACACAGGAGGTCGTGTATATGTATATATATAAACTTCTAGTATTGTTTCAGACGTCAGTAGGAAGCTAACATTTCCAAGTGACGGGCACCAACGTCTCCAGAACGCCAAATCCAAGACACCTTCGAAGTTTTAATAATCAGAAGAGAATTACAGACAGAGCACGTGTACGTGTATCTCTCTAATTGCTGAAAGAAGCAAAACGCGTTTATATGTTGCAGGATTTGAAATTCTCGCCGCGGTGGTTATAAACAGTTCTAGCTTTCAGGATGTGACGCCGTGCAGTCTGTTGGAAATCAACGTTACGAAAGAACACGTCCCGTCCATCATCAGGGTAGGAGAATAAGCCCAGAAAAAAACCAACGTGAAAACTCTGCTTGCCACTTTCCTTCACGCTGGCTTCTTGCTCGGCTTACTCTTCGACACTGAAGATGGAAGCGTCATATTCCTCCGAAACGTCGACTGACTCTCAACGGACTACACGATGTTATATCCCAGAAGAAAGAACTCTTCACGTTTATGTGTTAACAGGAGTAGTTCATGTATGAAAAATTACAGGGCCGAAATGTATAATGCAGGGTTTTTTCCCGTCTTTCCCGCAGCTGTGGTCAATTTATTTGATTTACTTGCACTCTAGGCAACCACTCGTGCTTGAAAGATGAGCTGGCTGCCTGACCAAGGCAGGCAGGCGATTTAGTTAACAGAATATCTCTGTGAAGTGCGTGACAGAATAGACGTTGGTTGATTAATGTAGCTACAACGGAAAACTGCTCCCCCGGGGACTTACGAAATTAAGCCACTTCCACTGAACGTAAGTAATGGATGTCGGTTTCCCACAAATCAGTATCGAAGCTGATTGCTCAAGAACATAAACGCAACTGCGATGGTAGGCATGTCTACTGGTTGCCTGATTTTACATTATAAGCGGGACAGCTCAGTCGGTACATAGCCTAGCTATAGGTAGGCGGCCAAGGGGTCGGAATTCGAATCCCGGTAGGGTCAAGATTTTTTTCCCCTCTTTGCGTCGTCCAGACCGGCCCTGGGGCCCAATCAGGCTTCTACACAATGGGTACCGAAGGTTTTTCCCCGAGGGTATAGCAACCGGAGCGTGACGCTGTCCATTCACCTCCAACTAATGCTGAGTTCAAGAATACGCGGACCTAGACATACTGTCTCCCAAACCGTTTCATGGCGTAGTGCTTAATTAGTTAAGCAAAGGGACAGATTTACCAATATTGCTCTCGGTTTTGTGCTGCAGGGTTTAAGGTATTTCTAGCGTAAATTGTAACGGCTATCGATTAAAACAAAATAAAACTAGAGGTAAGCCGGAAATTAAGAAGGTAATAGTAGTGAAGAAAAGACAGTCGAAGTTAATGTGAAACAATAACAACTTGCAGAGCACTTGTAATTCTAGGGAAAGTGGCGAACATCCCTGTACTTGTAGTAGAGTTTTACGGTTCAAGGACTTTATCTTCATCCCTCCCGCTCATTGGATACAGCATGAGAAACATTCAAAACTTTATGATCATAAAATATGGATTCCATTCATTCTAATTATACCGAAATTTAATTAAGACTTAACTGTAAAACTGAAAAGTTAATTTTAAAAATAAAGAGAAGCGAATTTATTGTAATTAGTTATTTGTGAGGAAGATTATAATTGATTAAAAGGCTTATCTACGTACCATGAACCAGTGCCAAAGAAAATCAGAACACAGAAATCCAGAAATTAATATCTCCACGGGGAAAGTCCATGTTGATCAGTTCGTGTTATTAGTTCACCACGTGACTTGATGCTTCTGGGAAACCCGAAGCTTTATTACCACGTTCATAATCACTGGTTCCAGGCACTTCAATCCACATAATGTCCATATAACATACTCTCACGTAGTATGTGTGACTATAGACGGGGTCTGGACTGGTGAAATATATTTACTGACCACTTACACGTCGTAACTACAAATAAATATAACACTACCGCTATTTTCACACTTTACAATTTACTACAGCACACAGTGTTATCAGTCTGTTACTAGACGTTTACTGGTAACGGTTCAAACAATGGCTATTCCTCTGCCTCCAAGCTCAGGTCCTCTCTTTATAGATTCCCGTATAGAACTCAACTGACTGGGTCTAACTTTATCCCTTGCTTATAACATCTCGGCATGGACCACATAGAAAACACAGCTCTTCTACAGTTACGTCCATCTGTTCCATTATTAAGAATCTCCTGCCTAGCAACGGGAACGTGTTTACCGAACCGTTTCCCAGAAACGGCACTGGTATATCTGACCATCTCGTGAGTGTTATATAGCAACGGCTCTACACGCTACAATATAGTTCTCAAACATCAACAACCGAACAGGGTGCAGGTTGTCCTAGCGGCAGAAGTCTCACCCGTGTCACCGGCTTTCCTACTTTTCGTGGTATTTCTCGGTCCCTCCAGGGAAATATCAAGGAAGTACCTAAATTACGCTACGACAATATCATTCCAAATTCTTTCCAATTCATCTACCGTTGTTATCCGACGCTATACGGCCGTGCTACTGGAAGCTTCGTCAAAGAGATGAAACAGTTAAATAAACAAGGAACAAACAAGAACGCAAGATTCAGTGTCTTCCACAAGCATAAGACAGTCTTCAGCCCATCAAGGAATTCCCTGCGTTTATGTGACCCGCAATGTTAATTACATGCCTTCTATTACTATTAAACTACTTAATGGTAACTAAGTTTGCAATTACTTTCTAAGGCCACGCCAAAGCTAAAGCGGTTAGTCGCTGGCTTCCCACCGCGGTGGCCCGGGTTCGATCCCGGGTCTGGTCAAGTGGCATTTGTGGTGGACAAATTGGCCCTGGGGCAGGATTTCTCTTAGTACTTCGGTTTCCCCTGCCAATATTCATTCCACCAAATTCCCCATCATCATAATCACCCGGGGCAGGTACAATAGGTACAATAGGTACAATAGGCACAATAGGCCAATCAGTGGCCTCCGTGCCGAGTGGACCCAGTTGGACTCCACCCCCCACTAAGCGAAAATATCCAAATGATATGTGATCTCACCCCGTTCGTCTGCGTCGCGTATTTGTGCCAATGGACCGTAGAGATTGATGAATCCTGCCTCGTGTTCCTGAGGACTGGTAGAGGAGAGAATAAGCCCCAAAGGTTGTAGCTGAATCTGCCGTCACAAACCACACACGACATTGCGCGCCTTTTCTAACTTGGTTCGCCATTTTGCTTGTTCATCCTCAAAGCGCTCCTCGCTAAGGCATGTACTGTCTTCGCTCGCTCGCAAGCCTGGATCGTGGGTTCGAATCCCACACAAGGCATACATGTTTTGTATGTGTTCATTGTGTTTGTGTTGTCCTGTGTATAGTTAAGAGGCCTTGCGACAAGCTAATCACTCGTGCAAGGTGTCCTACCGTCAGCAAAATGGTCATTAAACGGAAAATAAGACGCCAAGGACCAAGGGGGCTTAGAGCCTGTGAAACGTATCTTCATCCTCATTTGGTGATCATCAGGTGAGATCTAAATTAATGCAATAATTATAATGTATTGTCTGCGGATCAAAGATAGCATAAATAGCACAAAATGCTGTAGAAAAAAAAATGTACCAGTAGGGTCACCCATGCCGGAAAGGTCAAAGGGTAGAATCCAGGCTAAGAGAGATACCCTGGTCCTCCAGGCTGGGGGTTGGGCTAACAACCTCATCCTGTAAAAAGAATTTTGTTGAGAAACCTAACAACTAGCCTCGGGTAATCCATTTCTATGGCAGCTCGCATTGGTTGTGGAGACTGGTTGTAGAGGAGGCCAAGACTCACCCATGGCTATAGCGCCGAGTGGTAGGTGGGTAGGTAGGCAGGTAGGTAGGTAGGTAGGTGG